GATTAAAGTGCATAATTTTTTTAAAAAAAGGAAAGTGACAAAATAGGTGAGACAGACGGAAAATAGAAAAATGGAATGAGAAGTGGAACGAAGAAAGTATTATAGTCCCTCCGTACCACATACCATGTCCACGTTGCCGTTTCTGTCCGTCCCACATACCATGTCACTTTCCTTTTTTGGAAAATGATTACACACTTTAATCTCATTTTAAACTTTTTAATTTTTTAAAAATTTTAATTATACTTATCTTAATCTTAATTTATAATTATTTATATTATAGAATAATTATTTTTACTAATACATTCTTAATTATCTATTAATTATATTTATCCTAAATTCTCGTGTCTACAGTAATCATGACATTCATTGTGGGATAAAAGTAATATATGAAATACTCACACCAATATTTATGTCCATTTAATTGGATAAAAGTTTTAAAAAGGTGGTAAATCAGAAACAATTTTTTATAGTTAAATAAATATAATTTTTTAAGTGACAAACAAAAATTAAAATGAACATAAATTTGAATGGTAAATAATATAATTTTTATAAAAATATATTATTAAAAAATTAATAATAACACTCTAAAATTTGCAGCTTTAAGGCCTTCTTTAACCATTATTTATTTCTACAGCATCTACGGTGAAAATGCAATTGATTTACAATAATTTATTTAAATTATAAACATCAATTTCTATTTAAAAAAAATATATATTCCTATTTTATACTCCCTCTGTCCACATAGAAAATAAATATTTACTTTTGCGGCGATTTTTAAAAAATAATAGTATTTTAATTACAGTGGAGAGTTAAAAGTTCACTTTCTATTCTAAAAAATATATATTCCTATTTTATATTCCCTCTGTCCACGTAGAAAATAAATATTTACTTTTGGCGCAATTTTTAAAAAATAATAGTATTTTAATTATAGTGGATAGTTAAAAGTTTACTTTCTATTCTAAAAAATATATATTCCTATTTTTATACTCCCTATGTCCACGTAGAAAATAAATATTTATTTTTGGCGTGATTTTTAAAAAGTAATAATATTTTAATTATAGTGAATAGTTAAAAGTAATGTAATGACATTTTTACTCTTGTTTTTTGGTGTAAAAGTAATGATGTGATGTAAAATAAAGGTATTTGTAGAAAAAGTGGGATATTTGTGGAAAATAGTGAACTATTTTATAATATGTTTACTTTATAATTGGACGTTCTAAAATAAAAATATGTATACTTTCTAACTTAACGAACGGAGTATAACTTTTCATATATATAAGTCGTACATCAACTTTAATTTATTTTTATATTATCACCCACAAGAGATCCGGTGTGGAATGAATTCTGCAACATTTCCGCACCAATTCATTAAAATTGTTGCGGCTTCCTATTAATTCTCCTACGAATCATTCTGCGGCATTCTTGTTTATTTCTGGTAGTGTATCAAAATGTAATACAAATCAAGAGAAAAAAAAAAAAAAAAAAAAGATAAAAATATATTTATTAGTGTTGTTACACATTCAAGATCAATAAACCATATATATATAAGAAACATAACAAATTTAACCAAAGAACTTAAAGAATGTTTTATTACGAAAACTACTGTTCGGACTCAGTTTACCCGATCGAAAAATAATCTCAACACCTAGTGTAATGCACAACACCAACCCAAACACAATCGACATCCACAGAAATGCAACAATCATGCGAACCAAAACACGATCTAAGGAAAACATCAACGATTTAAGCCTAATCTCTCCCAAACAGACAATATACTCAATACACTGTAAGGAATGCTCAAAATCGTGAATCAAACCAAGGAACAGCCTCAGCACAGGCTGTATATCGAAAGCCTCAGTCGAAACCTTCACTTCGCCGGATAGATCACCGGAGAAACCCAAGGAAGATCGCTGGAATCGCCGTCGCGGTTAGGGCTTTTTTTAGAGAGAAGAATCGCGTCGCGTTGGGGAGAGAGAAAAGTGATAGTGAGAGTCTGAATTATCACACGAACCAGATCAGATTGACATATATAAGTATTATACTGTTCCAGACCGGTTCAGCACCAATATGGGCAGTTCAGTATCAGACCGCCGGTTCCTCCACAAACCGGGTTTGGTTCGCAATTACAGAATCTGGATTTCGGGTTGTGCGGGTCAGGTTTGTGCATCACCGGCCTCATTTGTCATTGGCCAAAAAATAACTACACAATTAGTCTATTATAATACCAATACAATGACATTTGTAGAATAAATTATTCAAATATAAGAATATTTTTAACGTCAAATACAATGACGCAAAAACCAAATGACAACCTTAAAGCGAAACGAATGGAATATTACTTTTCCAAAGAATAATCACACCAAAAAAAAAAAAAAAAACACTCTTGACTCCAAAAATAGAGTGGAGTTAACAAAAGTGGAAGGAATTTGAATTTAGGTTGGAACCCCAACCCCCATTTTTACCCAACCATAATACAGGTTAAAAAAACACTCGACTCCAAAAACACTCATCCCATTTTTACCCGACGCCTTAGATCATCTACCACACATGGTTCGCCCAGTGTGACTTTCCCGTCGAGGTTTAACCAGTGCACACTTTCGGATAGCGATTGCGAATTCCCACATCATAAAAAAAAAAAAAAAATGCTCTAATAACAAAGTCATGGATAAAAAAGTGTATAATTGCTCATTGGTTTTTTTTTTTTTTTTTTATCGGAATGTGTATTATTGCTCATTGTTGTTTAGCTAGGGTTTAGTTTTTGGATTCTTTTGATTTAAGTTTGTGTAATAGTTATTCCAGTGATTTGAGTTTATGCAATAATAGTTTGATGAAATACTTTATAATATAAATAATACTATATGTTCAGTTACAAAGTAACTTCTTTTTTTTTTTTCTACAAATATTTTTCTTTACGTTGCATCGTTACTTTTACATTTAAAAGCAAGAGCAAAAATGTCATTATAAGAAAAAAACTTCAATCAATCATCATTATATTTTACAAGAAAAAAAATAAAATTGTATAGTTGAAATATAACTTTAAAAACAAATAGAATTTAACTATCTTATCAAGTTTCACAATTTATGTTATATTTTATTATATTTAAATTAAATGTTATATGCAAAAATTTCACCCAATATTTTTTAGTAGAATAATTTTTTTATAAATATTATTAAAAAAATACAAATATACACATTAATATAATATATATATTTTCTATCAATAAAAAATCAATCATTTAACATAAAATAATATTTTTTATATTATTAACACAGTTGTTATACGACATACAAAAAGATCAATTTATCTAAATTTATTAAGTGAACAAACATCATTATTTTTACTTAAAAATTTAATACAATCAGTGATAACTATAAGAATGGGTATTCGTATATATGGTTTGAATTTTTCCGAATCAATATCCGAATTAATTCGAATCCAAAAATGATCTCGATCAAATTAAATTGTCCAAAATACGAAATACAAACCAAATTAAAAAAATGCATCATATATTCAAATGTTTGAAAATTAATCTTTTTGAAAAATTAGATAAATTTATTTTTAACAAATATTATCCAATAAAAAACAACCAAACAAATAAACATAGAACAATATTATCCTATATTTAAAATAGATCCCAACAAGTATCAAATAAAAAATCTCAAATAAGAACCCATAAAATCTGCAGTATATTTACATTTTTATTATAATATAAAGTTAATATTTTACTCCCTCCGGGTTTGACACGAGAATTTAGGTGGAGAGTATTAAGTATGATAATTTGAGATAATTTGGATATCAAGTTATGTGATTGGAGAGATAAATAGTTATTTGTTTTTTTTTTATTTGAGTGATGTGATGTGATAATGTAAATTATACATTAATACATGTATAAAAATATTATTAATTATTTCTAAATTTGAAAATGTTGCAGTGAATTTGAGAAAAACAAAAAAGAAAATGTTGCAAGGTGTTTGAGACGGAGGGAATAATATATTTCAAATTTCAAAATAATTTAATTATTCAGTATATCAATTCAAACTAATTAAAAAATTCAATTTTCAATACAATCCGATCAAATTCATTTGAAAATTCGAACCAAGTTTTAAATTTTGGTACGATTTGATTGAATTATTATTTTTTACGAATATGTATAGAATAATATTCTCTCTATCCCGGCTACAGTGCAGTGTCCCTTTTACCATAACACGAGAATTTAAGAGAAATATAATTAGTAAAAATAATAATAATATATTAATAAAAATAATTATCATATAATTAAAATAATTTTAAATTACATTTAAGATAACTAATTAGTCTGATTAAAATTAAAAAATATATATATTAAAAAAATTAAAATAAAAATAAAATACTCCCTCCGTCTCATATACTTTTTACACGTAGTTTTAGAAATATTAGTATTATATTATGATATAATATGAATAAAATAAAAATGACTAAAATAATTTTATCAGTATGTGTGAATAGTACATTTATTAAAAAAAAAATTTGATATTTTGTCAAGGACTAAAATAAAAAAAAGGATACTTTGTTATGGGACGAAAGAAGTATATAATTTTATTTTTTTTCCAAGAGTGACAAAAATAACTGAGACAATATTTATAGTTTTATGATTATTAAACGATAAATAAAGTAAAATGAAATTCTGACTTTTAAGTATACTTTCAAACGTGCAATGTATACTATTCCCTTTGTCCTATGTAATATGAGTGTATTACCGTAGACACGAGAATTTAGATAAAGTATAATTAGTAAGTAATTAAGAAGTGTATTAGTAAAAATAATTATTATTTAGTAAAAATAATTATAGATTAAGATTAAGATAAAGTAAATAGTTTAATTAAAATTAAGAAAACTATAAAATTTTAAATTTAAAACGCGATTAAAGTACATAATTATATTTTTAAAAATAGAAATGAAAAATTATGTGGAACGAACAAAAATAAAAGATAGAGACAAATTATATGGGACGGATGTGACAAATTATATGGGACGGAAGTAGTAGTAATCTATGGATGATTCTAGCAAAGGGAACGCATTGACAACGACAATGACAATAACAATGAAACTAGGCAAACCGATGGATGACTCACTTCCACGTCAGTCACCCAATGGGTCTTTGTTTCCATTGGCTTTCATCATTACCTATGCATATAGCTCTCTAATCTCTATTATTCTCCTCCCTTCCTATATAAACCCTACTTCTCCACGCCATTAATGCATCCACTCGTTAACGGTTAACCTCTCTTTTTATTACTACTACTATTTATTTCCTCCTCCTTTGTTGCCACCCACCAACCAATATACACATCCATCCTTGTCTTTTTTATTTCTCTATACATGACTATTACAGCAGACACTGTTATCTCTAATGGCGGCTGCCTCATGGTCCGCGGCAAAGTTGTCTTAACCGGAGTTCCCAAAAATGTCCTCATTTCTCCGGCCGCTTCCGGCTCCACATTCATCGGAGCCACCTCCGTCGCACCCAGTTCCCGCCATATCTTCGACCTTGGACTCCTCCGGTAAAATAAAATCAACACTATATATATTGTTAATTCATATTATAATAGTTGGCGGCAAATCCTGTGTCGTGCTGATCTAAATAATTTGACCGAATCAGCACATGATATAAAGGTGATCAACATATGTTTATAGATAATAAATGCCAAATTATAATATAACATATGATGTATTATAAATATATTAAAAATGTGTATAAATGTTGCTTATCAACCCTTATAACAAATCCTTGATCCAATCAAATCAGCATCATGCTTACTTGCCTACTTATGACAGAGACTCAAGGTTCATGTGTCTGTTCATCCCCAAGATATGGTGGATGATACCTCGCGTCGGGAATTCCGGCCGCGACATCCCCGGGGAGACGCAGATGCTTCTATTGGAAATCGGCGAAGAATCAGCACTCGGGATCCCCAATGATCAGGAAGATTCTCTTCCGGAATCTTCGTCGGAAAATAAGTACTATGTACTACTCTTAGCCGTGGCAGACCGAGCCTTCCGGGCAACTCTGCAAGGGACAGCGGACAATCATCTCCAGTTCTGCTACGAGAGCGGTTCGTCTTTAAAGCAGCATTATAATGCAGAATAATTAGCCATTTCTTGACTCATATTGTTCTCATTCGTTCTTTTAGGCGACCCGGAGGTGAAGACCAGCCAGGCGACGGAAGGTGTATTTGTGAACTCAGGGGACAACCCGTTCGAACTCATCAAGGATTCAATCAAGTATGTTGGGAATCCAAGTTCTACTTATCGCTATTCATCAACAGTAATTATTTCAAAAAAATCATTTGAACTACACCCGATGTTTTCGGGAAGTTTAAGAATGGATAGTAAATCCTAACTTCGGAATTTCTTCAGGATATTGGCGAAGCATACGGGCACATTTAGCCACCTTGAAAACAAGAAGGTAACTAACAATTTGGGTCCTACAAAAAGTGTTAGTTATAGTCTTAATCTTACAAGAGTTCGATACAGATCCCGGCACATTTAGATTGGTTCGGATGGTGCACTTGGGACGCTTTCTACACAGAAGTTAGTCCCAAAGGAATCAAAGACGGTCTCCAGAGGTTAGCATGTCGAACCAACATTGGATGTTTTTCGTTCACATGCACAATTCGGAAACTTATGTCCTAAATTCCAAACATTATTACAGTTTCAAGGATGAAGGGATCTCTCCTAAATTCCTCATCATAGACGACGGGTGGCAAGAAACCGAAAACGAATATCAGACAGCAGGCCAGCCGTCGATTGAAGGAGCACAGTATGTTCATGCCCCTTAATTCGATCACACGAACTGGACAGATTATATCACTTCACTAACGATCAATCCTAACAATACGATAGGTTCGCCGCCAGATTAACTGACATTAAGGAGAACCATAAGTTCAAAAGATCAGAATCAGATGGTTCGACTACGAATCTCAGAGACTTAATCCACGACATCAAGGAGAATTACGGACTCAAGTAAAAATTTCATATTCAAAAAATGTATTCATTACCTCAATAAACATACCTTAAAATCCCCAAAACTTCCAGGTACGTGTACATGTGGCACGCATTGGCCGGATACTGGGGAGGAGTGAGCCCTTCATCGGAGGCAATGAAGAAGTACGATCCGAAGCTCGTGCATCCGATCCAATCACCTGGACAAATCAACAACATCAGAGACATAGCAATGGACAGTCTAGAGAAATATGGAGTTGGGCTGATAGATCCTCGAAAAGTATTTGAATTCTACAACGATATGCACAGCTATCTCGCCGGGAGCGGGGTGGATGGCGTCAAGGTCGACGTCCAGAATGTGCTGGCAACATTGGGGTCGGGATATGGAGGAAGAGTGTCCATCACCAAACAGTATCATGAAGCCCTTGATGAATCTGTGGAGAAGAATTTTAGGAACAATAACCTGATCTGCTGTATGTGTCACAATTCCGACTCCATTTTCAGGTAACTTTCAATCTCCCATTCCTAAACATTCTGCAGATGTCTTTATTCAGACAAGAAAACGTACCTTATTTATTTTTTCCCACGTATCTTTAGCTCAAACAAGAGTGCAGCTGCTAGAGCATCCGAGGATTTCATGCCGAACGAGCCAACATTCCAGACACTCCACATAGCATCTGTTTCCTTCAATAGCCTTCTCCTAGGCGAGATCGTCGTGCCTGACTGGGACATGTTCCATGTAAGAAATCTAGTCATAATGCAATAAAGCTAATACCGTTGAATTAGATGAATACTAAGGCCCTCATTGTTCCTTCAATTTAGAGTAAACACGGCACTGCTGAGTTCCACGGAGCAGCTAGAGCAATAGGCGGCTGTCCTGTATACGTAAGGTAAGAAACAGTTCACATAATACTATAATAATATTGTAGTTACAACTTACACTCATCTCACTGATGATCCACATTCAATTACAGTGACAAGCCAGGAGAACATGATTTCAAAATCCTTAGGAAGCTAGTTCTACCCGACGGATCAATATTAAGGGCCAGATATGCCGGCAGGCCGACTCGGGACTGTCTATTTATCGATCCAGTCATGGATGGAAAAAGGTCAGCTCCTTATATTTTTATATAAAGCTAAGACAGTTCATCAGTCCAAAAGAAGTAAATGAACTACAAAAGAGATGTTCGGAACAGCCTAACAGTTGCTACGAAACTTACAAACTACTAATTTTACCTAGTTGAAAATCGAATACACGAACTCAAGGCTATATTCCAACAGCTTGCTCAAGATATGGAACTTGAACAAGTTAACCGGAGTGGTGGGTGTGTTCAACTGCCAAGGCGCCGGAGTTTGGGCGATGAAAGAAGCTCCTCCCAAACAGGTTGAAAACTCTTCACCTGCAGATACATCAATATCAGGCCGTGTCAGTCCCCTTGACGTAGAATCCCTGGAGGATATAACCGGGGAACATTGGTCCGGAGAATGCGCTGTTTATGCATATAAATCAGGTTCATCACTCTTTCCATCTACACTCCACTATAAAGTAGTTAAGCGTCAAGCGTAAATAATGCTGCATACTAAGTGATCACCCCATCTATAGCAAATGTCTGATTCCTAATACCTATGTTGCAGGAAGCCTTAGAAGAGTGACTATGTGCAAATCTGTGGGAGTGTCTCTACCCATCCTGAAATGTGAAATATTCACAATCTCCCCTATAAAGGTGAGAAAGCCTTGTCGGAAGACCAGACTTTTCACTCTTCTAGATTCATTGTGTGCACTAACAAAGAGTGTTTTATTGTGTTCAATCAACAGGTGTTGAATGACAATGTTCATTTTGCTCCCATTGGCTTAATCAACATGTACAACTCGGGAGGGGCAGTCGAAGAATGCAGCTTAAAAGAGACAACAGTGACAATCAAAGCAAGAGGGTCAGGACTATTTGGAGTGTATTCAAGTATGAAACCATGTTTGTGCAAGGTAGACAAGAAAATTGAGGACTTCTCATATTGCAGAGATAATGGATTGATGACAATCCATCTGCAAACTGAAAACATCTTCAAAGAGATTGAAATTGTGTACTGAGACAGCACTCTTTCTAAGTCTGAGATGCGAGTCATTTTAAGTACATTAGATAACACTCTTTCAATTAGAATCAGGGTTTAAATCCAAACCTCGCAGATTGGACGATTTGGACATATATCTACAACTATACATCTACCCTTTGTTTCACTGGTGAAACAAACAACTGTAATTTTCTTCTCCAACAAAGAACAACAAAATTTTCTATAAAAGACTAAGCCTTCAACCCCACTAACAACATAGACTAAAATGTTAAACAAATCCATTTATAGATGGTTCGGTTTCGAAAGCATTATTCTCTCGGGGTGGGGGGTTGCACCTAGCAGCTCTGCATAATAATTCTCTATGCCATTAGAGAGGTAAACAACTGAAGTTTTGATGACAAGTTAATATGCTTCTTCACAAAGTTGAGGATCGGCATATTTATGATACATATGCTTCTTCCCAAGTTGAGGATTAGCATGTCTATGAAAACATTATGGGGTCCATAACACTTACAAGTAAATCAATCTCCCAATGCACACCCAATAAATCACCTTCTATTATTCTAGAGGTACACCTCTGAGGTACGATGATTTATCGGGGGCTCGTATCATGTTAGAGTCATCATCAGGTATTACTGCCATTCTTCATTCTCTTATGTGCAAAGAAAACACAGGAAATGTAAGAGTTAAATAAGCTAATGGATTACAGGAGTGAAGTAAAAGATATACATTAAACCATCAAAAGAAGATAGAAGAAAATATAGTACAATATTTATTGCACGCTAGCTGGAATATCTGTAGGTAAATACATGTAAGAGCAAACATGTATATACAATGGGGAGATTTCTTGAATTACCATGAAATGCTGTGCATTATTGCAAAGAATATACATTATGCATATCATCCAGACTTATCCTCTAGAACTTTCTGTAAACAGCCAAATGAAAAAAAGAGATCAAACATTATATGATGCGATGAGAACAATTACGTATCTGATGAGAATACCAACCACTAGTAGCCTCGTATCTGTGCTTCCCGGCTTGTCAGTGGAACATAACGGACAGATGTTTGATTATAGACAGTTAGTGTGCCATCCGTGCTCTTGTCAACAACTTGGAGGTCCTGAAAGATGTTGCCCACAGGGATAACCAATCTGCCACCAGGCTTCAATTGTTCAACAAGTGCAGGAGGAATTTCTGGTGCTGCAGCTCCAACATGAATAGCATCATAAGGTGCACACTCAGGCCAGCCCTTCCTACCATCTGCAACAAAAGCAGTAGCAATTAACTGCAAAATGCAGAAAGAAGTATCCATCTTCTCAGAAAATGCTGAAACACCTACTCGTCTTTTCAGCAGCAAAGAACATTGTAAATTTGAGACTGAGAAGGCCACAAAAATAAATTTAACCCTCAGTTTCTAAGAAAAGCAACCGTGTCAACAGCAGTGAAACTTCAACCTCGAAAGCATCTATAAGTATATTCATCCAATAATTCGATCAAAAGTATATTTCTCAGTCCAAACTCGTAGCTTTCACCTCAAACATCTAATTTTCTTGTTTGAACCAACAGAACAGAAAAAAAAAAAAAAAAAAAAAAAAAAAGGAGTTTCTGGACCAACAGCTATACCTTTATTCTCTTTCTTAATTTTCGTGAATTCACACAAAAACTAACTCTAGTTTTAGACGAGTCTGTTCGATCAATAAAGAGGTGAAAAACTGGAGTATCAAGTATGGCTACCATTTCCATTCTTATATTTATTTATACTTGGGAAATGATGAAGAACTATATACGGTCTATCATTCTGCCACAAGTGCAGCAATGGTGAACAGAATGCCCTTTATATTCAATTGAATGAAATGTATACATGCACAAGAATGATTCAGAAACTAGATCCAGTATACTTGATAATAACTAAAAATTCAAATGAAAGTGTAACATGAGAATTAATGGTATACCGCCAACATGTACTGAAAGTGATCCATCTTCAAGCAATGGGGATGCTAAGCTCTTTCGGATATTCAGAATAGAAGATTCAACTAACTCGGGAATATGTTCTACACCAACAGCACGACCTTGCGGTCCAACCATAACAGCAAAGCATGCAGTCAAATAACCTGACCCTACAGAAGAGAATACATAGAAATTTGTCAAGATTAAAAACTGCAATAACAGAAGCTAATATCTCATCCCGCAAAACAATCATGACTGAAAACAAGTTGTACACTGATCATCAGGTTAAACCAAGCACAAAATTTAGTTACCAACCACAAGTTCCACCAACTTCAATGATAGGCGGAAACATAAAATAAATAAAATTACAAACTTGGTACAAACAAAATTCAAGGCAGTCAGGCATACTCAAGATTAATTATACATTAAACAATCAGATAATACACTTTCTAAAGAAATTCTCTCCCCCCCAAAAATCATAACTATAACATGATATTTCAGGCAAATACATCTACTGATAAAAACGCATTCAAGTGATGAATTTTGTAATGCAAGTCAAAGAAGAAAGCTAATTTTCTCTGAACTTCTAGATATTTCATAGCATAGATGAAATGAAATAACTGTCCTACCTGAACCAACGTCCAAAGCACACATTCCAGGCTTCAAATGGTTCTCCAATAGTTCAAGGCACATAGCATGCATATGAGGTGCTGAAATAGTAGCATTGTGACCTATCTGCATGGGGCTGTCGACATATGGCGGTGCACCCTCAGGCACAAACAAGGCCCGGTCAATCATTTCCATCACTTCAGCTACTTTCTGAGACCTTACTGCGCCATAGCTCTGTAAATGCTCAACCAATTGTTTGTTCTTGCTAATACTGCTTCCAGTCCATACTTGCTGTTCGAAAACATAAAACGTTGACATAAAAAGTAACACAGAGGTTCTTCTTATGATCTGTCACAAGATGAACATGAAACTGAACAAACAGTAAATTTCAAATGCAAGTAACTGAAGCTCATAAGAACCTAAACAAAATCAAAATCAAAATACAATTATCTCATCAGTACTTGTTCATATACAAAATCAACCCAAACCACTCACTCAGAGACTAGTGAGGATTGGCCAATACGAAACGCTAAATCCACAGCTTGCTTCAATGCATCTAATTTTCAATCTATCTTCCTTTCCTACCTACTGGTTTTCAGATTACATATTCGTTCCAACATACATACAAGACCATAGCAGAAACTTCACATTTAGCCTTTTTCTGTAAAAAAATTCAAACCACACATTCTTTTCAGCACGCAATCAACAGAACACTCCAATTATCTTAGCAAAACAGCTCCACTCTTCTATTTCGCATATGAATCGTACGTAAATAAATATACATAAACAAAACTATATATATTTACAATTCTAGCCGCTAATGGTGCTGCGGCTTCCAATTTCTTCAATTTCCACCAACTAGACTCCGAATAAAGAACACAAAAACAAGAGGAATCAAGCATCCTATAGAACCACGTGACCGTTTACCTCCATCCGGGAGAAGAGCCAGTTCCTCGTGAAGAAGCGAGGGTAGCAGCGGGTGGAGAAGGCGGTGATGGCGGCGGCCAGTGGCGGAGTAGGAGGGCGGCGGCGGTGCGAAACGGATAGTCTGAGAGGGTGCGCAGGGTAGCAGAGGCGGTGGGCGGTAGTAGAGAGTGACGAAGAATAACGGTACGACGTGAAATTCATTTCTTTAATCTTCTAATCCTTTCTCGCATTTTCTCTGTAACTCTCTGTCTTCGCTTCGTGTCTCGCTCTCGCTCCTTCAACTCTCCCTCACGTGCTCCTCACGTGTCACTCTCTACTATTGGGCTTCCAATCAGGCCCATCCTACTTTCTGGTTTACATTACTAGTTAGGCCCATTCATTTTAAATTAGTGTTTTAGAATGTGTTTTTTTTTTTAAATACTTAACACATTTTTCAAAAAAAAATTTAATATTCCTTCGTCCAGCATAATTTGTCCATCCGTCCCACATAATTTATCTTTTATTTTTTAAATATAATTATACATTTTAATCATATTTTAAAAATTCATAATTTATAATTTTTTTATTTTAATTAAACTATTTAGTCAACTTAATCTTAATATATAATTATTTTTATTATATTATAATTATTTTTACTAATATATTTTTTAATTACTTAATAATTACACAATACCTAAAAATCTATTTCTCAACTAAGGTGGACAAATTAGCTTTGACGGAGGAAATATATAGTTATAACATATATTTATTATTTTATATTATATACATAATTTCGTATATGCTTATAAAAAAATTGCCCTCCAAACCAAAAACAAAAAGAAATAAACCCTTACTCTTTATAAAATACTCTTCTTCAACTCAAATCATGTCACTATTTTTTATGGTTCTTTTGTCTATTTTACTTAGTAAATCATTTCATTTATTTATAATTTTTATGTATTTTAATAAATAATAATTAATTCATCAATATTTTTTAATTTACCATGATTATTTAGCAATTTTTTAATAAATTTTTATAAACTTTAAGTTTACTTTCTTAACTGCATTACTTTAATATTGAAATATTAATATTATTATTATTATTTTATTTCAGTGTTCAAACAAATTTATATAAATTTATGGGATAGAGTGAGTATTAAGTATTTAATAGTATGTGTGTGGTTGTGACTTTTTTTAGATTTTTTACTATTTAAATTTTATTTTTTCAAAATATCGAATTAAATATCTAATTTTTATTTATTATGTTAAGTTAACATTTAATTTTACATTTAAAAATATGATACTAATAGTATATTTATATGATATGAAATAATTATTTTAATATTTAAAATTTAAACCCACAACAAAGGGTTTGTTTGCTTTCAATATTACTCCTTATGTCCGAATAATTATGCTAATATTTTTTTTATTGCGTCAATTAAAAATGATGCAGAATTCATATAGTATTATATAGAAAATTATTAATTTATAAATGTTATGAATTTATTCTCGAATCTTTGAATTTATCGAACAAACCTAATAGCGGAACAATTAAATAAAATAAACCCAAATCAACAATATCGAAATGAAAAAAAAAAAAAAGAATTAAGGCAAAATCATTTATGAATTCTAGGGAAAGAAAAAACAACCAAACAGAATATGTACAATACGTTGACCATGGTGCGAAAATGACTTAAGGTAACCATGCCTCGAGATGGAGATCGGCTTGTCACTCTAAATCTCGACACCCACCGGAATCGCTAATCGAAAAAGGGTTCGAAGCTCACCGGAATCACTCACTGGAAAATCGGCGGAATCTCTTCGGCCCAAAAAACTAATTTCTATTTAAACCTTCCTAACAAACTAACCAATTAACAAACTCTAACAAACTTATAGTTCTCCGTTTGGGCTTGGGATTGGATTAGGACTAAAGGGTTGGGCCGATCCGGTGGACCGGGCTACGGAGTGGGCCAACTTATTTATTTGTCGGAGAGACTTATCGGGTTAGGCCTCGAATGGCCAAAATTTTTAACACTAAATATTGCTTTTATTTGTACAATTTTGGTTTTGATTTTAATATTACATAAAAATGTTATTTTGAAAGATATCAAATCAAACATCTATTTTTTTATTTATAATATTACATTAAAATTAAATACTACCTCCATCCGGCCATAACATTTATTTTTTGCATGTTGATATTTGAATATTAATTATTATATCAAAACATAGTACATATTAAAAAAAATTGCAAAAATACTTCCGTTAGTGTCTTGGAATACTAATAGAATGACATTTGTACAAAAAATTATAAAAATATAATGATATTTTTTAATGTTAAATATAATGACACAAAATATATATATTATTCTTAGAGATAGACGAAGAGAGTATTATATTTAAAATATTACATAAATACATAATTATATTACATCAAATAACTATTTCAGTTTAATTTATTATTTTTCTTTATTCAAATCACAATTCAAAATCAAAGTCCCACAAATAAGTTTTAGGTGCACAATCGTCAAGTGATTTTTTTTATTTTTTTATTTTTATCTTTTAAATTTATTGTTGGAACGACACTTAAAAGAAAATATAAAACAAAGAGTAGATTAACAAGACAATATTTTAAAAAATATATAAATAATAGGAAAAAGGGAAAAAAATGAAAAGAAAAAAAAAGAATGTGAATAATTGGTAAGAGTAGAATGCAAGATAAGAACTATATGAATGGATAGAAAGAAATTACAAATCAAATCAACATCCCTTTTTCTCATCCACTAAGTATAAAATACTAACAACAAAAAGTAGTTTAAAGTACTTAGCTCAATTTTGATTATGTTATTTTTTAGTTTGATTTAAATTTTAGAAATATATATGACCGCATTTTCAGCGCTGAATTTAAATTTCAGTTAAATTTAGTATTGAACAACACACAATGTGCTAATAAATAACACACAATAGTCTTATTTCCATAAATAACTACATCACCATAAAACTACTCCTACTTTTTTATTCTTATTATACAGTTGTCACTACTTTTTACGTTAATACACTCACAAGGACAAAAAAGTCTTTTATCCATACTTTTTATCAACTACCAATATAATATCAGTATTCCTTAAATCACGTCCAACTCAATTAAGACTATATTTATAGGACGGAGGGAATATAATATATAAACTAACAATGCATAATAGAAGTTCACACAACATATACACAAATTAATTTTAAGATATAATATACTCTTATACAGTACACGTTGTAATTATAAACAAAAGATATATATATTTTTATTAAAAACAACACATGTTATATATAATAAAGATATGTGTTGTTTCTGTATTTTACGTGCGCTGAGTTGAATCGTAACTTTTTTATATATATGTGTTCATCCAACTATTTTTTAATTAATGACACAAATTTCATTAAATATTATTAGAAAAATAAAATATAAACTCGCGTAATTATATCAATATATGGTATTTATTCATAAAATTATTTTTTATATTATTAATACGATTTTTTATGTTTAACCTAAAAAAACTCAAAATATACACACATCATCGCCTTTTTCTTGGGGGGCAAATTTTTAATTCTATTTTTTTTATTTATAAAATAATGTAAATTATTTTTATTTTATTAAAAATACTCTATTCGTCCCATTTGAAAGGACATATTAAAATTTTGTAGTAGATTAAAAAATAAATAATTAGTGTAAGTGTGTAATTTGACTTTATGTATAAGAAAAATTGTACGTGTAATGATATGTTTATTATTTAAATAAAAATTAAAAGTATTGGATTACTTTTACTAAAAATAGAAAGCGATACTTTTGATTAAAATAGACAAAAAAAAAAAAAAAAAAAAAGAGAATACTTTGAATTAAAATGAATGGAGTAATAAATTAGGAAAGCATCAATGTCTAATATATTGTAACTATATATATATATATATATATATTGTAAATATTCATATATTTATCTTTTGAAATAAAAAATAACACATTTTTTTTCATTGGAAAAAATAAATTCAACACTTAATTTTTTTATATAATTTTGTTTATTTTAAATTATTTTAATACTATTATATACACATTTTTATTTAATTTAAATAACAAAAAATAAGGGGTGGGTGTTGGGCAAGGGCCAGACAAAATTGGAGGCGTCGGGTTTTGAACCCACTTCACAATCACAAATTCATCCCCGCGCTAACAAACTATTCCTTACCAGACAAAAATATAATATTTAAACTATTAAAATAAAAAACTCAAACTTTTAAAAGAACAAACTATATATAGTAGTATAATAATTTATTTCTTACTCTCTTTGCCTTTAAATTATTGCATGTTTTGTTTTTGTTTCTTTTTATGTAGCTTTTTAAATGATACTATAATTTCATATATATTTTTTAAAAATATGTTAGTCCTATTTTCTTTTTCTTTTTTTTAAAAAATAATTATAATTTAATTCCATCCGTCTTGATTTTTTTTTTTTTTGCTATCTCCAAACTTTTCTATCTTCTCTCTATTTATAATTAGTGTTTTCCTCTTTTTATCATTATAAATATATTTTATAAAAAATTATCTCAAGAAAAAATAGACTAAATGGTTGAAAAAATTATCAAAATTATACTAATTGAAAAAAAAAAAAAGAAGATATCAGAACAAAAAAACAAACAATTATATATTTTGAATTGGAAGAAGCTGAGCATCTAGAAAGGTAAAAGAAAAAAATATATATATATTGTACTCCCTCCGTCCCTTAATAATTTATCCATTTTTTCATAACAAAATATCAATTTCTATTTTTAGTAATTGTACTATCTACCTATCATTATAAATATCCTTCAAATTCACAATATATTACACAAATGTCATTACATTTATATCATTAATTTAGTTTTTTTATATTTATTTCTATTTTACTTTAATATAATACTAATATTTCTAAAACTCCGTATAAAAAGCAAATAAATATATAAATATGAGACGAAGTGAGTATATATATATATAAATAGACATTCTATATTTAGAATAAAGGCAAAAGTATTTGGAACAAATATAATATACTATATAATATTATATATATATGATCTTTTTTGCTTTTGTTGAAGCTAAGTAAAGAACTACGTACAGTGTGCATGCGTGCATGCAGTGTGTTGTTTTCAACTGATCCAACTGATTTATGATGATGCAAAATGTTGATGCAATTATGACGTCACAAACCAATTAGTATATATTTATTTATTTAATTGGAAAGAAGCATCCAGTCCACCGTCTGCTTTGGCTCTTCTTTTTCTCTTTTTTACTTTTTGTAATTAATTTCTAATTGATATGGTAAATTCTCACACCTTTTCTAAACCACATGTTTGCTTGGATCAAATAATGGGTTCGTTTTGCCCAACCAATTATTTTCTCCAAACGAAATATTTGGATTTTGAGTTGAGATTTGAATAATAAAAATTTTGAATTTTAATAGTTGTATGATGTGATATTTTGAATTTAAAATTGATTTTTAGTATAATATACAAAATAAAAAATATATGTTTGATTTGATGTTTTTGGGGGAAAAAAATGGGATGAATAGTGGATTGGAAATTCCAAACAAACACACCCTATGCTCCATCTGTCCCAAAAGTATAGTCTTGTTGTATTGGGCACGAGATTTAAAAAATATTGATATTATATTAGTAGTGGGTAAAATGTAAAGATAAATTATTTTTTTGCCATTGTGAGTATATTAGTATAAAAAGTAGTGACAATTGTATAATAATAATGAAAAAGTAAAGATAGTTTTATGGTGATATAGTTATTTATGGAAATGAGACTATTGTTTTGGAACGGACAAAAATGACAAACAAGACCATTGTATTGGGACGGAAGAAGTATAATATTTTACTATTTATTTTTAATATGTGAATTTTAATATATTACTCCATCACTCCCATTTCTCATGTCCATGTTTTCATTTACATTCGTCCCACTTATTTTGTCGCTTTCTTTTTCTAGAAAAGAATTATACACTTTAATCTTGTTTTAAAAAAATTTAATTTATAATTTTTTTAATTTTAATTATACTAATTAGCTATTTTAATTTTAATCTATAATTATTTTTATTAGATGATAATTATTTTCACTAATACATTTTTAATTATTTACTAATTATATCTATCCTAAATTCTCGTGTCTACGGTAAACCGGATAAAATATCCGAAAGGGAGGGAGTAGTATTTTATATAAATTATATTGCAACTGAAGGCTAAAATATAGTATATTTTTATCTTTAAATTTATTTATTTTGTAATGATTGCATAAAATATAGAAATACTTTTTTATTAAAAAATAAAAAGTATAATTGCTATAAAATTACATGCATTGAGAGTAAAAAGTCTAAATTAGGAAAAATGGAATATTATTTGGATTTTGTGTTTTTTTTAAAAAAATACATTATTTTTTTTTATAAAATATCCCACCAAACATTATTTTCATATCAAATTCAAATCAATTTTTTTTTTTTTCAAATTCATCAAAAGAAACACACTAATCTTGTGTTTGGATGTGGGATTGGGAGTTGATTTGTATTAAAAATAGTAAAAATTTGAATTGAATATATATTTGATGCAAATTAATTCGTATTTGAAATTTTTTTATCAATGAAAAGGTATTATTAATATAATGATTATTTTTTTTAATCTATAATTATTAAAACAAAAAACATTGAACGAATACACAAAACAAAAAGACCAAAAATAAAGTATTTTACTATAAATATTAGGTTTAATAGATGTTTATCCAAAACACACTCGACTACTAGTAACTATTATCGTTTTTATGTTATTAAAAATAATAATAATAAAAAAAACCATAAATAGACTATTTTTGGTGGAGCTAAGTGATTGCTAAAATGGAGAGCTATGGATGCACAAAGGAAAATCCCCTTTACAAGCAAAGAATCCCCCCAAACAACTATATATATCTCTTCAAATTTGAACCTCAAAAACTACACAGAAATTAAAACATAATCCTCATCACAAGACACAAAAAGAAATTAATTAAAAAACATGTCTAAACCCGGTCTAGTAGTGCCACCCGCTGCTAGGAACAACCACCACCCAAAGCCGCCGCAGCGCGGCGGCCGGAGAATGGCGGACGACAACGCCCTCAAGAAGCAAGTCCAGTCGACGCACGAATACGATGGCCGGGAGGTCGACGTCGAGTCCATTCTCGTCATCATCAAGAACATCCTCGACCTCGTCTCCCCCGGCATCGACGGTGTCCTCAATGTATGCTATGGCGTGGACTTGACTCGTTTATTTATTTTTTTTTTTTTACGGTCGTTTGATTTTGTTCGATTGTAGGGCTCGAATCATCGCGCCGATGTAGTCGAGGAGACCGCCGCCCTCACCGGCATTGTCGATGGCTTCGACGACTCCGTCGCCTACTTGCTTGGCAAGATCTCGTGCGAGGTTCGCATCAATGGCCAATATCTAATTTTTTTTGGCAAAATTGTTTATAATTCACTTGTAATTTGAAAAGTCTGCACTAATTTGTATAAGAGTTCATCTTATTTTTAAAAATACTACACATAATTTCCTAAAATGACGCAAGGCTCTTTGTGTTTTCAGAAATATTGTACAAAACTATTAAAAAGAGATTTTGTATAGTAATTTTTAAAATACTTCGTATGTCCCAAATCAAATGGGTCTTTTGTAGTTTTGTAGTAGATTAAAAAGTAATATTTCTTCTGTCCTAAAACAATAAAAACATTTGAAATTGACACAAGAATTAAGGAATAATAGTATTATATTAATAGTTGTTGTAAAAATATTTCTAAAAGACCAAAATGCTCCTACTTTATGTAATTATTGTGAAAAAGTAGGAATAATTTTATAAAAAGGTGGAAAGCTTGTTGCCAAAAATAGAAATGAGACTATTGTTTTGTGACGGACGAAAATAGCAAAATGGAACTATTGTTTTGGGACGGAGCGAGTATTATTTTATTAGTTAGTGGATGTGTGTAAGAGTTTTTGACATTCTTGTTATTTGACTTTATATATAAAAAGTAATTGTATGTGTAATAGTATGTTTGTAATTTAAATAAAAGTTATTTTGATATTAATGTATGATTACTTTTTCTAAAATAGAAAAGATATACGTTGAAATGAGACAGACGAAAATTGTAAAAATGCTACTTTGAATTGGGACGGAGAAAGTACGAAAAAATTTAATGCAGTTTTTAAACTATAAAGTTGAATGGTGGTGACTTTTCAAACCACAGGTCGATTATGATCAATTTTGCCTTCATTTTTTACGTTTAAGAGTATTATGTAACACGGTCGTGTTTCTAGTTCTCTTGCAAATGTTCGGGATTAGACGCCAATGCGTCAACGATGGAAATACTCAACATGGTGTCGGGATACGCTTGGGATGCGAAGGCCGTGTTGGCATTGGCGTCGTTCTCGGCCAACTACGGCCAATTTTGGCTGATTGCGAACAACTTCACAACCGATCCGTTGGCGAAATCCGTGGCCGTACTCAAGGAGCTCGTCGACATCTTCGAGAACTCGAACTCAATCAAGTCACGATTCGATACGATCAACAATCTCGTCAAAGTTTCGTTGGAGCTAACCCGATGTGTGTCGCAGTTCAATCAGCTCCCGTCGAAATACATTACGGAGGAATCGAAGCCCTTGGCCGAGGCCACGGCGTCGGTCCCTCTCGCCGTGTATTGGATCATTCGAAGCCTTGTGGCCTGCACCGCGCAAGTCATCGAAATTCTCGGGTCTTCTAGCAAGTAAGTCACGAAAATCTTTTCGATCGTTTTTTGGTTTTGTCGATGATCGATCGAATACTCACAGAACGGTTTCGATGGCTGCCGAAACTTGGGAGCTCTCGAGCTTGGTCGAACGGCTGTCGACGATCCAAAAACATCTCAAGACACAGTTAAACCTCTGCAATCGATACATTGGTACGTAAAATCGAAAAACCGAAGCGAATTTCTTGCGGCGAATCTAACGAAAGAGTCGAAATTTTTGCAGATGAGAAGAAGCACAACGAGTACTTCCAAGCGATCGTTAATCTGTTCCAAACGACGCCTCATTTCGACAACCAGCGCGTACTGAAGCAGCTGATTTACTCGAGGGATGATCAGCCTCCACTCGTCGCCGGCGCAGGAAAGAAGTCGAAGGTATGTTCATTACAATGTACCTCTGTTTTAGTTACGCGATTTACGCCGGAGAAAAAACACAGGTCGGTGTTGAAGCTCTGAGAGGGAAGACGGTGCTGCTGCTGATATCCGATCTCGAGATCTCGCACGACGAGATTCGATTACTCGACGGCATGTATTTAGAGTCGAGGGCTCGACCGGAGCTTAATTACGATATTGTGTGGCTACCGTTGGTCGAAAACGCGACGTCTATGACGGAGGAACTCGAGCACCGATTCGACGAGCTTCGATCGATGATGTCATGGAACATGCTGCAGCACCCGAGCATGATCGAGCCAGCGGTGGCGCGGTACATCAAAGAGGCGTGGCGATACTCGAAGAAACTGATCGTCGTCACGTTGGATCCTCAGGGGAGAGTCGCGAACCCGAACGCAGTCCACATGGTTCGGATTTGGGGGAATTCGGCGTACCCGTTCAGCGACTCGAAGGAGTCGTCGTTGTGGGACGCCGAGACGTGGAGCTTTGGGCTCGTGATCGACAGTATTGACGGTGTAATCATGTCATGGACGAACGAAGAACCGAGCCCGATAATCTGTTTATACGGCGGCGAGAACGAGGGTTGGATACTGAAATTCGTCGAGACGACCCGCAGCGTCGCGGCCGCGGCGCAGATAAGGCTCGAGATGGCGTACATCGGGAATGGCGCGACGAGGGAGCGAACGAGACGGCTCAGCGACGTCGTGACGAGGGAGCGACTCGGACATTGCGTGAGCGATTTTACGACGGCGTGGTTCTTCTGGGCGCGGATCGAGAGCATGATGCACTCAAGGCTACGTCACGGCGGGACTATCCCAACAGAGACCCGGCCGGGCGACGGGATTCTTGCTGAGGCGATGAACATGCTGACGTTCGTCGGCGACGAGGGGCAGGGGTGGGCCGTGTTTTTCGACGGATCGGAAATCGGGGACGGCGAGATGGCGCGGGGGAAGGGGGAGGCGATGATGGAGGCGTTGACGGCGTTTAGGGAGTGGTCGGAGGTCGCCGGAGAAAAGGGGTTTGTGGCGGCGCTTAACGACTACTTGCGGGGACATCACACAACGAAGCATTGTAATCGGCTCGTGCTTCCGGGGATCGAAGACGTGCCGGAAATGGTGGTGTGTACCGAGTGCCGTAAGCCGATGGAGAAGTACTTCATGTACCGGTGCTGCACCGACTGACGGCGGCCGGACGGCGGCGTTTGGGTTGTTGGTTGTGTGTGTATGAAGTTTATGTGTTGTTGTGTTGTGATGAATAAATTGTAGGATTGTTGTAAGGAAGGCTGTTTGGGTTATAGGCCATGTTGTGGTGTGTTTGATTTTGGGTCTTGTTTACTTCAGTCGGTTGTTATAATTTGTTATGATTGTAAGTTTGGTGGGTTAATGTTAAATAAATCCTATGTTTTATTACATTTTTATTTTTACTTTATTTTATTTTTTTACTATTTCTTACATATTTTATAAAAATATACTCCCATTATGTGTAATTTTAATATAATTTTATAATTAGAGAAATAAACATATTGATAACTATTGTACTTCGATATTCAAATTAAAAAATTAAAAATTAAAAATTTGTATACCTGATTGTATGTTTGGGAGTTGAGTTTGCATTTTAAAAAGTACTCCCTCCGTTGCAAAACACCCTGCAATATATATATATATATATTTTTTCTAAACTCACTGTAATATTTTTAAATTTAGAAATAATTAATAATATTTTTATACATATATTAATATACAATAAAAAAGCAAATAATCATTTCTCTCTCCAATCACATAATTTAATATCCAAATTATCTCAAATTACCATACTTAATACTCCTCACCTAAATTCCCGTGTCAAATACAATTGTTGCACGGTGTTTGGGACGGAGGGAGTATAATTTTGAATTAAAATAATGCTTTAATTTGATATATAAATATATATTTTAAATATAAAGAGAATAAGTAAATATAAAATTAATTTTTAATACTACCTACATTGTAGATACGGTATTTTAGGAGATGCGTAATTAGTAGATAATTAAGAATGTATTAGTAAAAATAATTATCCTATAATATAAATAATTATAAATTAAGATTAAGCTAACTAATTAGTTTAATTAGAATTTAAAAAAAAAATTAAAAAGTTTAAAATGAAATTAAAGTGTGTAATCATTTTTTTTTAAAAAAAAGAAAGTGGCATGATATGCGAGACGAACAGAAACAACAACGTGGACATGGTATATGGGACGGGTGAAGTATAATATAAAAAAAAAATTAATTTAAATTTTTTGAAAAAAAAAATGATAGACTTATAAACAAGTAAAACTCAAATGAAAAATACATTACAAAAAATAGCACAACTCTATTTTCAGTAAATATTTTTGTTTTAAATAATCACATTATATATTTACTTGTTATTTAATATAGTACATATTAATATTACTCCAATTTTTATTCGAAATATTATATCAACTTTATCTTTATATATTAAATAATTTTAATTCAAAATTTTTACTATGTTCAAAACATGGTAAAAACACAAAAACAAAAATTCCACTTGTAAGAGTTAAAAGTACAATTTTTAACCCATATCATCCAAAAAAATAATAATAAATAAATAAAGTACAATTTTTAATCATTAACAGCATGCTAAAAAATATATATTTAACCGCTTGAGCTACACAATCTCGACAATATATATATTAATATTTAATTTTTTTATATTATATTAAAACTCATTTTAATTTAAAAAATTATATCAATTTTTATTTAAATCACATCAAATAATTATTTAAAATTATAATTTTACTATAAAAAAAATTCAAAATCAAAATCTAATCCCGCAAACAAACACAAGATTATTTATCATTTTTTTTATATTTATGCATCCAATAAAAAAATGACATACCGAATGTACACAATGCATATATCAATGTCATATGCAAAAATAAAAATAAAAATAAAAATAAAAATTGACCGTACGTAAGTACAAGATTATTAGAATGATTGTGGTAATTATTTACATACATTTTTATATATAAGAAATGGGCTCTAGCAAAAATTGGGGGAAAAATAGGAGAAAGAAAAATAGATGGTTAGTTTAGTTAATAATCATTCTAAATAATTTTACTATTTAAATTTTATGATTCTTTCTATAATACAACATTTTATATTATATTCAAATCAAAAGCCAAAATAAAAAAATAAAAAAAACCAAAACACATCTAGAGATTGTTTAGAAAAATTAAAGAAATAAACTCTATATTTAAATTAAATTCATGTTAAATGAACTAGATTGAGTTGAGTAAATGAGCAATTTCTATTATATCCTTGGATGAATTTACACGAGTTTTAAAAAAATTGGTTTGAATTACTTCAAATTTAAAATATTTTGAAATTAATTAATTTAGAGTCTGTTTCTCCGGTCCAAACACAGTGATCCAGCCCAAAACTGGACTGGAGGGGATTTGGAGGGTACAGACTCTGTCCGTCTGTGAGTTCGTCATTTTCTTTCTTTTTTTAAATTATAAATATAAAAAAATTATAATAATTATAATTTAATAAAAAATATACAATATATATGTCATTTTGTAAAAAATAAAATTTTTTATAATACAAATAAATAAAAATTTAAAAATATATATAAATATAATATAAATTTATAATTAAATTATACAAATTACTATACATTTATATTATTATATTCATACCCATCAAATCAATACACATAAAAAAAAATCCTCAAACTCCAAACAAATCTAAACCCAAAAAAAACATCAAAATTCAAATAAAAATCAAATTCAAACCCAAATTTCTCCAAAATCTCCTAAACAAACACACCCCGGTATTATAATTTTTTTGACATTTCTCGGTATTAATAAAACATTTAAATTGTTAAAAAGCGAATGTATATGTAATTCAGTAAATTTCAGGGTTTGGATTTGAGAGTGGATTTAAATGAATGAAATTGAATTATGTGAAAAATACAATAAAATACAATTTTTTTATAATTATTTTTACATTTATGTTTGATTTTGAATTTTTTTATTTAAAATTTAATTTAAATAATATTTTGATTTAATATTTTTATAAAAGCAGATAATATTTATTTATTGAAAATTATACCAATCAAATAGTAAAATAATTGGTTTGTCAAACCAAAGAAATCTGAGTTTCTTCTTTTTTACAAAATACTACACATTATTTTTAGTAATATTTAAAAAAATTATCAATATTTTAAAAAAATAATAGAAATAAATATTATAATAATACTTTCATAATTTTCAATAACTAACCCACAATTTTATTTTTTTTGTTTTTTATATATAAACTACACGAAAGAAAAATTTCAGGAATCATAATAAACACTAACCTGTCATTGCAGCATTATGTGTGTGTAGTCACCATAGAACAATCATATAGATAAATATATATATATATATATATGTGTGTGTGTGAGGGGCTTATGAAGGAATGAATTGAGAGACAAAAGAAAGGAATTGTATACTAATCTTACCTCTTTTTTTATGCAATCCTTCCTAGAGAATTTATTATACTTCATCCGTGTCATAATAAAGTATTATTTTTTTCATTTTAGTCTGTCCCATTACAAAATATTCATTTTTTTTTAGTAATTGTACTATCCACTTAACATTACAAATACCCTTACCACTTACAATATATTACACAAATGTCGTTACCTTTATATAACGCAATACTAATAAGGTTATTTTAATCATTTCTATTTTATTCCTACTATATCTCAATATAATATTAATAGTTCTAAACCTCTGTGCAAAAAATAAACAGATACATAGTTATGGGACAGAGGTAGTACGTTATGTTTTCTTTATTTTTATTTTTTATTTTTTTCATAAAAATATTACAACGTATACATATAGTTCACAAAGGGTGCCAAGAAAAATAAAAGAGTATATTTATGAACGATATGATCTTCACCCATATATAGGAGACGCAATTCGGGTCGGCTCAACTCTTTTCAATTCGGCCCGGCCCGGCCCAACTCCAAACCAATCAATAGTTGGGCCTGAAAAGACTGGCCCGAGCACAGACTGACCGGGCTGTGCTGGCCCGTGTTTTAGCGTGTCAGGTCATGCACGACCCGAAAATTATTGTGCCTATTTTCTCGAGACTCAAGCACGATTTTTTCGTACTGAACCAGACTTTCGGGTCATACTTATTTTTGTCACCCTACTCGTATACTTCAATTTCAATATGTACCAATTTTTATTTTTGGTTATTTATAATTTGATATTATTCAATTATTATTATTATTATTATTTTTTCATCTTTTTATTTTTTTTTAAATATAATTTAAAATTATTTCAAATAACAAAATAAGATAGTTTAGAAAAAACTATTAAAATTATATCACTTAGAATAACATACTGAAGGTAAAACTAACAAAGAAAGGAAAGTATTTTATTATTATTATTATTATTATTATTATTATTATTATTATTATTATTTGTTTACTTATAATTTAAGATAAAATAGCCCATTATTTAATGCACTTTACATTTTAAAATTCCGATTTGAAAATTTTAAATCACAGATTCCAGGGAATGAATAGAATGTTTTTTTTTTTAAATAATAATTAGTTTATATTATTATAGAGTAAATACATGAACTCTCAAATCAAGAAATAAAATAAAATAAAATAAAATAAGCAAGAACAAGAACATGTAGGGTACAGGATCCAAAGCTTTCAACTTGATACTAATCCTCTAATTTTAATTTTAATTTTAATTTATATTAATCTTATTTAATAATATAAAAATTCGTAGTCGTAATTTGTTATTTCACAAGTTTACTAGATAAATATTTTTTTGGAATACGATCACTATTCCTCCAAACCTATTAGTTTCTAAATAAAAAAAATATTTAATACTATATATATATTTCAAAAATATTTATATGTATAATTATTAAGGGTGTATTTGTTCATGGATTTTAATTTTTGAATTTAAATTTTTAAATAATAAAAAATTAAATTTGAATCTATAATGTCACGGAACGAAAACACACTCAATTTTCGGTAATTAGATAAATGGATGATAGCTTTATTTTGTTCAATTTTTTTTTGGTTAAAAATAGAATGAAAAAACATATTGAATATATGTGAGCCTGACCGTTATTATATACTTTCTCCATTTCATAAATATAATTTTAATTGGGTTGGATACAATATTTAAAGAATATTGATAGTTGATAAAAAATATGGATAAAAGACTTTTTGTCCTTGTGAATGATTAGTGTAAAAAGTAGTGGTAATTGTATAATAAAAATAAAAAAGTATGGATAGTTTTATTGTGATATGATTATTTATGAAAATAAGACTAATATTTTGAGACGGATAAAAATGAGAAACAAGACTATTGCATTCATGTAT